TTAATCAAAATAAGTTAATCGGTTAAACTCGGGTCATTCGGGTTGTTAGCGGGCCGAGTTTGGATTGATGTTTTTTATTCATTTATTAAATGTGTTATATTGACTAGATTCAGGTCGGGTCAATTTCAAGTGTGACCTGAATCTGATCCATTAACCCATTTTGACATCTCTATTCTCATACAAAATTAATCCCAATTCATTCCCAAGGGATTAGATCCTTTTTGTGTTGTTGTTTACTCATTTCTCTTAATTTTTTTATCAAATATATTCAATTTATAGTTAATTATTATATAAAAAAAATTAACTAAAATAAGTTAACAGGTTGAACTTGGGTCATTCGGGTTGTTAGTAGACTGAGTTTTGATTGATGTTTTTTATTCATTTATTAAATAGGTCAAATTGACTAGATTCAAGTCGGGTCATATAAAATGCAGATAAATATTCATCTAATAGGAAATTGAGAAGCCTAAAGCTTTAATAGGAGTTAAAAGACCCTATCATGCCAATAAGAGGTTAAAAGTGTTCTCCTAATCAATATCTTTGCATTCGCCTAAGTGATCACTTATAATCGTGAGTCTGCCATTACAGAAAAATTATTACATGCGGTCACCGGACCGTTCGGAGGCAAATTAGGATGCATCACTTCACTCGGTATGCAACACCGATACACATCAAAATGATGATGTTGCGTGTCCTGATTCTCCTCTAGACAACATCAGATAACCACACGTAATAATTTCTCACCATCATAAGGTTGCCTTCCACCGGGGGCGGAACCAGCCTTTTATCTCAGGGGGGCAAAATTTTCTTATTAATAGACAAATATAAAAAAAAAAAAAACAAAATGAGGACATAATTCAAAGTGAAATCTTGTATTCCAATATGATAGAAAAATTGATAATCATTACAATTTTATCAATCTATTTTGCATTTTTTGATAATATTGGACAACATCTTCATTAGGAATCAAATCAAATACATCTTTTTCAATGTAAGGCACAAGACAATCGTTGAGCCAATCATCACCCATCCTACTACGCAATCGATGTTTGATAATTTTCATTGCTGAAAATGCTCTCTCTACTGTAGCAGTAGCAACTGGTAAAGTTAATGCTAAAGTAATAAGTCTGTAAACTAGAGGATACACATCATTCTTCTTGAACTTAACAATCTGCTTTGCAAGATCAACAATGCTTCTTAGAGAGGAAAACTCTTCACTGGTCCGCATATCAATAATATAAGTTGATAATTGATTTTTAAGAACAACAACCTCAATTATAGAAAAATCACTTGGATATAACTCTGCTAGACATATCAACTTCCACTCATCATAAGCATGAAAAGAATCACTTGGGTTTAAGCATGACACACAAAGTAGTAGCTCTGTACTTGATTCAGAAAATCGATTATTTAGCTCTTGAAGTTGCATGTCAACTACAGTATAAAATAAATCAGCACGATAATGATGTAGATTTGTTATTTCTTCACCTCTTCGCACTGCTCGACGTCGAGTTTTGTTTGTTTCATTCATGTTTGGAACAACAACTTCAAAAACACCACAAAATCGTGACACTTCGGCTAGTAAAGCATTCCATCCATTCTCCCTTAGTAGTTGCAGTCGTTGTTTAGATATTTGAACCAATTTCATCGCATTTTCAATGTCTTGATCTTTTCTTTGTAATGATTGCGATAACTCATTCGTAATGCCCAACATATCAATCATCAAATGCATTGTAAAAATAAAATCAAAAGACTCCATCGTATCAATCAGAACACCTGCTTCAACCGATTGCTAATCATGAACCCCTTCTTCCTTAACAATCTCTAGGACTTCAATCACAGAAGCATACATACGCATGATACTAATCAAAGAATGGAAATGTGAACTCCACCTAGTATCACTAGATTTCTATAAATTAGTCTCTTGATTCAAACCTTTTCCACTCCTGAGATTGCCATTTTTAAGATGAAGAAGGACTTTATCATGCTGAATACTTTTAAGAGTATCCGATCTCTTACAGGAAGCTCCAACATTATTAATAATTCTAGAAGTGAACTCAAAGAGATGCTTTACTTGCTAGTTATTCTTTGCCACTGCTACCAAACATAATTGGAGTTGATGAGCGAAACAGTGAACATAAAATGCTTGAGGATCAATGGCTGCAGTCAACATGATCTTATATTCCTTTTTGTTCTTATCATCTTTTCTTAACCATAAAGCAGGAAGACCGTGTTCTTGTTTTTTCATCAAATCTTCACATTTTTGTCTAGCCTTATTATGTATGTTATTGTGATCTCCAATGTGACATAATAATTTCTCTTTCTTCTTCCAGTTTCTGAAACCTTCTCCAACTAATGAATCCCCACCACCTTGACCTTTAATGATCTGCTCTTGATGTTTAAATAGAGATAAGATTCGGATATCTTATCTCTCTATCATTAACATCATAACTCTAAATAGGAAGTCGATCTGATGCTAGATTATTAATATCAATTTCTACTCGCTCTTTTCTCTTTAAATAACGCTCCATTATTTAACCCTAGAATGAAATTTATTACCAAGAAAAAGCAACCGTCAATCAAAATATTTATATCATAATAAACAAGTATGCTTATACAATACAAACTTCAACTTAAACATTAAAAACTATGCTATGCTTATTTTAATAGATTATACACTTAAATGCAATTAAGTATCATACAGGCTACAGCTCCTTACAGGCTACATAGAAAATTGAACTTCCTATTTCGTTGTGAAAATCGAATTTGTCATTTAAGGATTTAGTAAAGTGATTTACCTCTTTTGGAACAAAACATTTAAGAGCTGCCAGCTCTTGCCCTGCACTAGCATCCCACTCCAGCAAAGGGAAAGTAAATTGTTCTATGAAGACCATGGTTGCTACTATCTACTTTCTAGTTTTAAATTTATTGAAGCATCTGAATCTTTTGTGTCAAAAATCAAAGTCCTTTGTGGTCTAGTGCTAAATTGAAATGCAGGTTTTTATATAGTTGTTCCATATAATTAGCACATTCAGTTGGAAACACATTGACCTCAGAAAGACCACAAGGTGAATTGAGCAGGGTAAGTGCTCTATCAAAGTAGCTGTAATTGTTGCAATCAAATTCTTTAAATTTATGCTTGCATTTGAAACAAAAGAACAAAAGCCAAAGAAATTGTCTTTCTGCAAAAGAACAAAATAATTGTTTGCATTTGAAGGATGAAAAATTGTAGAATAAAAAAATCTCTTCTTTTGGTTTCTAACATCGATGGAAATCTGTGATCAGTTTTCTCAAACCAGACAGACTTTCAGATAAGAGATTGATTATTGATTTTTTTTTCTTTTATAGGTTTCTCTCAGCCAGGAGAGGATCTGTATTTCGGAAGAAGCGAAGAAAACAGCGAAAGAAGCAAAGAAATGGGCGAAAGAACGGAAGAAATGTCGAAGAAGACTTACCCGAGCACTTAGAATGATGAAAAATGAAGTCCTCTCCAGTCGCCTGTCCCGATTCAAGCTTCAAGAACAAAAAATCAAAAGAGTCGGAGATGCAGATGGAGATCGCGTTCGTTCGGAGAAGAGCAGGGGCAGCGGAGCGATACTTGTTGTTCGGCGGGGCAATACTTGAGAAAATTTGATATTAGGGTAAATTTTAACCTATTGAAAGGGCAAATTACCTAACAGCCCTTAGACTTAAAAAAATTTACATTTTTTTTTTTTTTTGGGGGGGGCAATTGCCCCCCTCCCGCTATAGTGATTCCGCCCCTGCCTTCCACATCTATCTATTTTACTCATAAAGAAAAACAAAAGATATAAGAAATGTCTATGAAGTGAACGTTTTTTTTTAGATTATTTCCAAATTTTTATCATGAAGTCATAGAAGGGCATTAAACATTAAAATCTTCGCAAACTATCGAACATGTGTAACTATCTATCTTAGCCATCCGATCTAATATGGGAGTGTTTTTCACTAGAATCACTATGATTTACCACGACCAAATTATAATAATCTAAAATAAAAATGAAAAATATTATATGTTTGAAAATATATTTTTCTTGACATAATTTTTTTTTTAATTTTTAGTGAGATGAAAAATAAATCATAATTTTTTTTGTGAAATTTGTGATGAAAGATTTTTTTTAGTTGAAAAAATCTATATTTTGGGTAATAGGGCATTTAGAATATGTGAATGATAAATAAATAAGAGACAATTCCATGCATAATATTAACTATTTATTAAATAACATATTATTATCTCAAAATTTTAAATTATTATATAAATATTAAAATTTACAATAAAATTTTAATTCATCTTCTAAGTTATTTTCCAAATATTGCATGTAAATATATGAATTCGATATTTAAAAAATAGATATAAATGTTAATTTTATAAATTATGATTTCGCTTTATTTATATAATTCTCTTAATAAATAAAATAAAAAATATTATAGGTATTTATTTAAAATATGTTGCTTCATTTAATAACCAGGACGTAACCAACCATAAAATCTTATTCATATGGACGGTCAGGATCATCCCAGAGCGTTTGACAATTCCGCTCCGTCATGACCCTGAAACCCTAACGCCTCCATCTCCAACTTCTATATATCATGCTATATCTGCTCAGTTATTCAATTCTCCTGCCTCTTAGCTTTGCATTGGTTCAAGCACAAGATGAAGAGATTGCTCCATCGCCGGCAACGGAGAACGGAGCTGCTGGGTTTTCACCGGAGCTCCTCCGCTCGCTTTTTGTATATCCTTTGCCATGTTTGCTAAGTGAAGAGCTCTGTTTATTTCATCTGCTTGAGGATCTATGTTGCTTTGATATCTTTTGTGTTTGTTGAAGGGATTTGCGAGAGATGAGACAATTCCTTCTGTTGATTTTTGGATGCTGCACCCTACCGCATTTGAACTCTCTCTCTCTCCATCGCCATGCCATTCCTTCTCTTATCACTATTTTCATAGAGATATTGTTGGAAGATTTTAATTCGGAGACCTGGAGGGGCTGATGATGATTGATCGTAAAGATCTAGCGGATTTCTGTGAGGCTACTAGCCGTTGATCGCAGTAAATTGTTGTTACACACACTGAAGCCTCTCCATCTCTCTTTCTCTTCTCGCGACCGGTTTTAAACTTTTTAAATTCTTGTTTATGTGTTGTTAGTTGTGATTTAAACTGGAAAAATTGGATCAGATGCAATTCTTTGAGTAGATAGGATCAAACAGATCTTCTTCCACTCTATTTCTCAGCAACAACCCAAACCCTAGCGGCTTCTTCTCTTCCCTCCATCACTCACACATTCCTTTCCGCTATTTTTTGTGATTGAAGCCCTTCTCTCATTTGTTTTTATTTTTTTTCCTAAGATCGGATTCTTATTGGTAATTTGAACTGTAAAAATTGTCTGTGCAATGATGAGTTCTGAAAATTGGTGTGCAGTGGCGATTTTAATTGCCGTGAGCTTTTTCCACCAAATTATACGACTTCTTCTTCCTCTGAGCTCAGATCCCCTTTCGATGGTGGCTTAGACTTTTAGCGCTGTTTTGAGGTTTTACATCTATTTTATATATTTATTTATATATCACATATTTATATTTTTTATATCTATTTTGATAATATTTTAAAATTTTAAATTAGATAAATATAATTAATATTAATTTATTTTAAAAAATAATTTTAGTATATACATTTTATATACTTAACTAAATTTTTATACAAAGAAATTAAAATTTTATGTATTAGATACATAAATATATAAAAATATGTTGATGATTTTTCATTTTTGAGTTAGAGTATTTTGAATAGAAGGTAAATAAATATAAGATCATTTGATAAGGAATTTGAAATGCCTCATTTGTTTTATTTTTATTATATATTAAACTGTCCAAATCAAGTGAATATAAAAATAAGGTTATAAACCCAAATGTCTAGAAAAGGTGATTCAAGTTAGCTCTATTGTTAAGTTGTTGATTTAGTACTTTTTTTTAATTTTTTTAGTTATGACTAATTACTTAATTTTTTTAGCTAATCACTTAATATTTTTTGTTTTGCATTTTGCTTTGTGGTATGTATTGTAATTTAATTATTGTGTACAAGTATTTTGATAATAATGGAATGAAATTTTGGGATGAGTTTATTTTTTTTGTATATTGAAAGTTATTAATAGTTTTGTGGTCTAAGGGGCTCTTTGGTATCAGATCTATCGTTGGATTTAAGTCGGGTTTATGCAAAATTCATCCAAATGATTTTTGTGTGCCGTTAAATCCCGGATTTATGGATTTACGTTTAGCATGTTATTAAATTCATTATATATTAAAAAATTTTAATTATAAATTTATTTTTTAATTTATAATTATTTTTTTTTACATTTAAAACCTTAACTGTCTTAAATATTAAAATATATTATCAAATAGTTTTTTAGAATTTGATATTAACACTTGTTGCCGAAAAGCCAGTAAGTGTTATTTTTTATAAAATTTTAATTGGATGAAAAATTCAAAATAGTTTATTTGCAAACATCAAATCCTCTCACTTCAAGATATATTGAAATAAGATATAAATTTAAATCATTCAGAATATGTTCAGGCAAAAAAAAAAAAAAAAAAAAAGTGGCATTTGAATAAAAAAGAATGCTAGAAGCTATTCAAAATTATGTTGTTATTATGTTTGGTGTCATTAGGCCAGCTTGTGCCAGATTGGCCACAATGTAAATATTGACATGTATAACAATAACATTTATCAGAATGCCTACTCCCATTATATCTGCACAGTGAAATATTACTAATAGACACAGACAAACCTTCACTCATAGAAACTTCTTTGTTGGACTCTCTACTTACAGCAAACATAGGCTTCATTCCATTAACTCCACTGCTTCAAATCTATTCGTGCTTGCATCATATCTCTACACAATAATAGTAAGAACATATTCCACCAACCTTGATGATCCATTATCTTAGAGAAACCTTGAATATCAAATGACATTAGCGGATGCCTCAAATTGACCCTCAAATCTCTTGGAAAATGATAATATTTTCTAATACATCTACTTTCCTAATCGAGTCATCGAAAAGTTGTCGTTTTATGTGACCAAACCATCTAAGACAACTATCTCTAATCTTATCTTCTATTGGAGCTACTTTAATCTTTTCACGTATATGCTCATTTCGTAGTCTATCTCTAAGGGTAAAGCCACTCATCCACCTGAGCATCCTCATCTTTCCCACACTTAACTTAGTATTATGCTTCTCTTTTAATGGCCAACATTCGACACCATAAACTATTGCAGGCCTCTCCACCATCTTATAGAATTTCCCCTTAAGTTTGAGGGGTACTTTTCTATCACATAACAAGCCCGATGCATTCCTCCACTTCAACCATCCAACTTGAATTATGCTAATAATATCCTCATCAATATCATCATCACTCTGAATAATAGATCTAAGATATCTAAAACGTGTACTCTTATTAATAACTTGATCGCTCAAAGTTACAATCCCTTCACTAGGTCTATTACTATTAAAATTACACTTCATACATTTCGTTTTAGATATACTCGAGAAAATCTTTAGACTCTAAGGTTGACCTCCATAATTCAAGTTTACCTTCAACTCCCTCTTTAGTCTTATCAACAAGAAGAATATCATCAGCAAAAAATATGCACCAAGGTACATCCTCTTGCAAATGTCTAGTGAGAACATCCAAGACTAAAGCAAAAAGTTATGGGCTTAAGGCTGATCCTTGATGTAATCCAACCGAAATAGGAAAATACTTGGTCAAACCACCTTATCCACCTTGTGTTTGAACACAAGTAATTGCTCCTACATACATATCTTTAATGATTTGAATATAAGCATTATTAACTTCTTTCTTTTCAATAACTCTCCATAGCACTTCTCTTGGAATTTTATCATATGCTTTTTCTAATTCAATAAATACGATATGTAGATCCTCCTTATTTTCTATATATTTCTTCATCAAACTTCTTAATAAATGTATAACTTTCATAGTCGACCCACTCGACATGAATCCAAATTGATTTTGAGAAACATTAGTATCACGCTGTAACATATGCTTCATAACTCGCTCTCATAGTTTTAAAGTATGACACATTAACTTAATTCCTCTATAATTCGCACAATTTTGTGCATCATCTTTATTTTTAAAAATATGAATTAACACACTCATTTGACATATTTTTAGTCTTCGAAATAGTATTAAAAAATTTAGTAAGTCAAGAAATTCATTCTTCTCCTAAGCATTTCCACGCCACTATTGGAATATCATCATGTCCAATAATTTTTCCACCTTTTATTTTCTTTAAAGCATCTCTAACTTCAATTTTATTAATACGTTGATAAAAACATAAATCTTCATTTTTATTTAGAGTGCTACGGTCACTACAATTAATCTTATTTTTGTAATCTTAATTAAAAAATTTAGCAAAATATTTCATCCGCCTTTGTTGAATATCATCTTTTAAGAAATGTATTTTTTTATCTTCATTCTTAATACACTTCGCTTGAAATAAATTCTTACTACTCATATCTCTTTGTTTGGCTAATTTATAGATATATCTTTCTCCCCATTTAATATCTAAACTATTATATAAACTATTAAAAGCTAACGTCTTTGTATAGCATATTATTTTCTTAAAATTTTTATGAGTCTCTTTATATCTTTCTCTATTATCAGAGTTTTTAAAATTGAATCAATTTTTTATAACAAATCTTCTTATATTTAATATTTTCTTGCACATTTGAATATCACCACAAACTATTTTTACTATTAAGAGATTTTTTCTTTGATACTAAAAGCACATCGTTTGCAATATTTTTAATATCACTAGTCACTTTTTCGCACATAACATTAGAATTCTCATGCACGGATAAAATCTTAAGATCTAAAATTTTACTCTCAAAAATATTTTTGTTAATATTCTTTAAATGTCAACGTCTAATCCTAGAATATCTTTTTACTTTATTTTTTATTTTCTGTCCCTTAATCTTAAAGTCCAAAACTAATAAACGATGTTATATACATACATTTTTAGTCGGAAAAACTTTATAATCTAAACGATCTAATTTTCTTATAAGAAAATAGTCAATGTGAGTTATACTATATTCATTTTTATAAGTGATGAGAATCTCATTTTTTTCTTAAATAAGATATTAGCAATTAAAAATTATAAGCTAAATAAAAATCTAATATTATCTTGTCACCTTCATTTGTTGTTCAAAATCTATGGCCATCATGAATGTTTTTAAAATCATCTACATCTTTACCAACATGTCCATTTAAATCTCCTCCAATAAAAACTCTTTCTTTAAGAGATATTTTTTGTATTAATTCTTTAAGTCATTTCAAAATTTTAATTTAGAATTCATTTTTAAACTTATTTGAGGAGCATAAGTACTTATAATATTAACAATGTTATCATCAACAATAATATTTAAAGCTATAATTCTATCTTCAATATTTTTAATTTTTATAATATTATCCTTCAAACTCTTATCAATAATAACACCTATACCATTTTTACTATGACTCTTACCTAAATACCAAAGTTTAAAACCTAAGCTATTAATTTCTTTAGTCTTATCTCCAACCCATTTAGTTTCATGAATGTACAAAATATTTAACTTATTATGAATTATAATATCTACTAATTCTATTAATATTCATGTATGGAAACTTATATTTCAATTTCTTATCCTAATTTAATTTTCATGCCTTTTAGTTTCATGGACTAGTTTCTTTGTCCACATCTGTCCTTGATGTGGGAACCCTTAACTATTTAACACTAAATCCGGACGCCAGTGCAACGGCCCTTGCACACTTGTTACTGTATTCAGGTCATACAACGCATCGCTTCCAGGGGATGCCCTAGTATTAACACAATTTTTTAAAGGATTAATGTCTTTTTTATTCGACAAGTTTTACGCTGGCTGTCGACTACCTAACGCAACTCTCCACTTTTTTTATCTAGGACTTGGGACATGGCAACGACAGTGTTATATTTGTGTTATAGAAGTGCTTTCCTAAATTAGCCTATGGAATTGTTCTTGCATTTATTATCTCATAGATGGTGGTGCAAATCAATCTCCAAAAGTCTCCACAAATTCCTCCCAACAAATCTCAGCATTTGTTTTACCTTGAAATTATCCTCTTCATTGGCTTACCTACCAGTGCTCAGCTTCTCCGTCCAAGAGAAAGGTTGACAACAATATTGTCCTACTTGTTGAAACTACATGCCATCAAAAGAATTCTCTAATTTCAACAACCAATCTTTTTAGCTTGAGGATCTACAAATCCTTAAAAACGAGGATTCAGCTTAAAAATAACTGCAAGTGAAGATCTATCTCAACTCCCCAAACACCAAACATCTTACTTTGAGCTTCACCCATTAATTGCGTTATTAGCCCAATAAACTGCATCATCAAATTTGGAGTTATTACTTCTGTAGTACTATGAACCGTAGCAGCTTTGGAACTTTGTCCAATGG